TAAGAAAATCAAATGTAAATTATCAAAGTTATTAATCGCTGAAAATAAAAATAAATTGAAAATGAAATTATTTTTATAGAAATTGATTTAAAAAAAAATTTTAAAATCAATATTGATTACCGTTTAAAATTTAGTTTACAATTTCTCTTTGTAGAATTTGTATATAGATAATTGATAAATGTATAAATTCATTCAAATTTGGTCTATCATTTTTCACGATGTTTTATCCTTTTTTGTGTTTGTAAGGATACAAGAAACTATCGTGTACCTACCAAACGCGAGGCACGAACATTCAGTCGTATCGGTAAACTTCGACGAGCCGCTACAAACGCGAAAACGAGGTCATATTGGTTTGAAGAGAGACTATAGGCATAAAGCGTACCGGGATACTTCCTCTTATGCTCCGCGTCCACTTCCCGGGCCAGGGCAAAGTATTTTTCCTTTACGTCTTTTGCCATGTTCTTCCAAAGAATACCTAATCTGTACAACATAAAAAATATAATTTACAATATTCTATATATGCATATATATAATTATTTTTAAATTATTGAAAATATATAAAATTTGATTGTACCCAAAAAAGATATTTAATAGGAAGAATAAGTTCTACATAAAATAAAAATATAAAATATAAATATTTTACAACTATTTAATATTGTATAAAGAAAAAAAAAAACTATGTATTATAAAGAAAAAAAACTAGCCTAACACTAATGTCCTTGTTAGACTCTCGAGGATTCTCCGCAGCGAGCTTTTTTCGCCATTCATTGGCGAATAACATGAAAGCGTTCGCTGGTCGTGGGATTTTTCGTTTAACTCCATTCGAATCGGCAATTCTCCCATCGATGCATAGAAATGCTGGGAATCCTTCTGGACGTATCTGCGATCGACCGAGTTGCTGCAGCACGAAGATTTTCTCTTCATCGCTTTTTTCACGATTACTACAAATCTGTCTCGCTTCCAACCGTATCTTTTTCTTTAATACATTCTCTTTATCGTTTTCCAAATCTTCGTCGTTCGTCGCCAAGGAAACCTTGAATATTTCTTCTTCAGATTTTTCCTTTTTACAATTTCCTCGCGACTTTTCAGGCGCGCTACAGGAGAACGAATTGTTGTCGATTGCATGTTGACTAGGAGATGGACTATCACAATTAGAAAATCCTTCGCAATCGCTTAAATTTTTTTCCTTAACTTCCGTTTTAACCGCGGCTAGAAATTATTTCAATTTATTTATATTTCTTAGTAAAAAAATATATTTTCATAATCAAAGTTTTTTTACAATATATTTTTTACAATATTATTTTACAATATATATATATATTTCTATATTTAGATAATATTTAAACATTGAAACTGAATTAAATAAATTAAAAAAATAAAATTTCAGACAGTTTTAATAATGGTGTTTTGAAACAAAAAATCGTAATAAGAAATAAATTGTGTAAGTATTAGTATCAATTACATTTTTATTACGTTGTTAATAATTCTGGCAACAATAATGAATAAAATTCACAAAGAAATTCTTATTTTGATTCTCACCTTTCTGCACGAGGTTCAAAATTAATTCAGAAGCATCCATGAGAATCTTTTCTTTAGATGGAATATCAATAAATAGCTATTTAATGATCGTTCTGTGTTCAACAATAAATGTCGGACATGAGACGTTTAATAATTACAAAAGCTAACACACGAGCGTAGATTGTATTTCGTTGTCGAGAGGGGCGCGTTGGTTGTTGATAACACTTGAAAAATCGTTAAGAAACGATGCGATTTTCTTTCTTTTATTTTTTGATCGACATTCTTCCATGACATCAGCCGTGTATATGTAACAACAGAAGATAGTCGCTTGTGTAAGTGTTTCTTCCACCATCTTGTTCAAATTCTTTTTTCTACTTAAATAAAACAATTTTTAAAAATTTAGCAAAAGAATAAAAATAGAATAATCATGTCATGCGACGAAACTTGTACATGTGATAAGCGTGGTATAGATTATTATGGTGTATTATCATTAACAAAAGATTGCGACGATTTGGAAATCAAAACAGCGTGAGTAAGACAATATAATTTATAATATTAATATTTATTTTCCGTCTTCTTCATCAATTCGACAATAGTTCTATGTTGCAAAATATCATCAACATTAATAATGAATAATAATAATTAATTGATCAGATTATATTGCAGTTGTTATTTTAATATAAGAATAAGCATATTTATTTTTAATATAATTTTTAATTTTTATTAAATAATTTGTACTATATTATATATATTTAATAATGTACTACATTATAATTTTCAGATTTCGACGTTTAGCGATACGATACAATCCTAAAAGAGCAAAGGATGAAAGTTTAAGTACTATTTTTGCCTTGGTAACTGAAGCATACGATGTACTTTCAGATCCTCTTAAAAGAACTGTATATGATCAATTCGGTGAGGAAGGTCTTAAAAATGGCATACCTGGAGCCGAAGAATTCATCTGTCCATATGTTTATCATGGAGAACCGATGAGAACTTATAGGTATTCAAATCATATTATTATTATAGAACATTTTTTTTTTTTAATTTTTACAATAAGAATATAAATAAAATATTCCGCTAAATATTACATTAAAATACTAAAATAAGTGAAATTTCATAGAATGTAATCTTTTTTCGTAATTTTACTTATACTTTATTTTTTTCCTCTAATTTTATTATATCAATTATATAATCCTCAACTTTATCTAAGTGTATGATTAACTTAACAATCACTTGAAAACTTTGAATATTTACAATCCGATCTACACCTTTCTCATTAGAAGTATCTCTACAGGGAATTCTTCGGTACCGAAAGTCCTTATGCTGATCTAATCTACGCAGTAACGCAGTCTCCATCTCTTCTCGAATTTCCCGAGGGGCGGGGTATAAAACGTAAAGAAGAGCCTCTGATAAAAACCTTGTACTTAACCCTTCTGGAGGTATCGTATCGATATTCTATTTATTTATAGTTTTCTGTTTCCAGTTTTAATCAGTAGATAACGTGTGACTCGTCATATCAAACTATATTTTTTTTTTATTATTATATATTTTCATATATTTCATAAATCATAAATTTTAAGGTGATTTTATGAATACAAATTTATTATTCATTACATTATGTTAATCCCTTATCATTATATAATTGATCAAATGTATTTTATCAAATATTCTAATATAGATCCTTTATTTGTATTGATAATCAATTTTAAGAGATCTATTTCTTGATATGAATAGGTTTTTCTTGGTGGAATTAAGAAAATGAAGATACAGAGATTGGTTTTGGTAGGGGATGATAAATCTATGACAGTAGTAAAAGAAAAAATTTTAACAATACCTATTAAACCAGGCATACCGACAGGGACGAGGATAACATTTCCAGAGGAAGGTGACCAAGGACCCACGAAAATACCTGGTAAATTATTAATATTAATTAAAAAAAATATTTTTGTCTTTTTTTATTTAATAGAATATATTCAAATTTAAATCATTTCTGTTCGATAAAATAAAAAGATTACGTACTTCTATAATACGTAAATAGAAATAGAATCAAATTCATTTTTTTTTCTTTACAAAAATTTATTATAGCATTTTTGCTTATATTGGTTCGAATTTCATAAAGAATGTATTTAAAATGCATCATTTCATGATGGACAGAAATGGGTTAATCGTAGTGGTTCGCATAATATCTTTACTCAGTCCTAAGCACGTCAACGTAGCGGATGTAATCTTCATCACGGAGGACCGGCCTCACGAGACCTTCCGAAGAGAGGGCTCTGACTTGCACATGACGGTCGATATCTTTCTGCGAGAGGCACTGACCGGAACAGTGGTCACCGTCGACACCCTCGACGACAGAACCCTTCGAATACCACTAACGTCTGTCATCACGTACGTGCCACCATCTCCATTTCCAATCCATTTTATTTCCTTCTTTGTTTGTTTATAATTATGAATAATTATTTTACGTTTAATATAACAAATCCTAGAAATAAATATAATTGTCAACAGATTTTTTTTAAATAAAAAAAATTGACAATATTTTACATTATTTTATATTGTTTTATATTAATTATATTATTTTATAATAATAATTATAAAATATAATTATAATATTTTATAATAATAATAATAATTTATAAAAAAATATGTAACATTTTTTTTTGCTGTAAAATAGACCAGATTATAAGAAACGCATACTTGGAGAAGGATTGCCATTACCAGAAAATCCAAAAGGAAAAGGAGATCTAATTATAACCTTTAACATTGAATATCCGGTATATATGCCAGTATCAAATAAAAATTATGTTAAACGAGCGTTTGATACATCAGAAGATATTAGGGATACAGAATATGTTCATCGTCTTATATTGGCTAATAAAATGCGTAGAAATATTGATTTTGATGTTCCTGTACGCCGAGATCCTAAAGATTATGAAGCAAAAGAATTAGACTTTATTTGTAACATTTAATTTTTCCATATTTTAATGGTATCGATTTATTAACTCTTTAAATATTTAATTTTAGATGTATATACATATTTTTTTGCAAATAAAATCATTGTATATTTCGATTTGTTAAATGATTTTACCAATTTAATAAATGTTATTTAATATATATATATGCAATGAGTAAACAATATTTTTTAAAATTCTTGGTTCTCTTTCTAAAATAACATCTTTTTCTACAGATACTTTACACTTCTTATTTTATCGAGATTTTTTAATATAATTTTTTTTATGTAAAAAATAAAATAAATAGGAAACTTACTAACCATTTGAAACTGTTATGTTATCGTCTTGAAAATATTTTATCGTCTAATAACTTTTAAAATTTTAAAAAAAATTCAAATATGATTGCAACGAAATCGTTATATTGATGAGTACTGCACTCTTGCGGTACATTCTATAACTTCTATCATAATCAAATTATCATGCGCAGTCAATAATCATTTCGATTGTACGAATTTGTTTTTTTTCCTATTCTTATCATGCTTTTGATATTTTTATCAGCATTTCATTGAACCGGTTCCCTGGCCTGTAAGAAGTGAAATAAATAGTGACAGCAAAGAAAGAAAAGAGCCGGAAAACATTCCATTCGATGTCGACTGAACGGGACATAGTAATCTCGGGCAATCATATGACTCTTCCGCACGTGACTTTATTTACAGTTGACTGATACTCGTGAACATGTATGGTGCAGTTCCTTGTGACATGATAGACCGAAAACGAAACAAAGTTAGCAAGCAATGCGGTAGCTATAAACGATCGTTCGTTTATGATGCCTTTGCTTGATAAGCTGTTCCTTTCGAGGAAGAGTTTCAAAAACAACGTTCAAACTATTGTAGCATCAAACGTTGGAACAGAAGAAGATGATAGGTGAGAATAGTTGCCTATTTTTTTTTTTTGAATATACCTCGTTATTTATTCCCATTCATTTTATTCGTACGTATCTCTTTATATCGTCATTGTTCTATATTTATCGATCTTATTCATGCTTTCGATATCTATTGCTAACATAGTATCGATCATCGAAGCCTTCCATATTATTCTAATAATTATTTTATATTTTTTCTATCAGAGAAAATCAATTTTTATTGAAAAAAGAGAAAAAAATATATTACTTGCCATTTTTTTTAAAGTCCATATTTTCGATCTACCTTAACCTATTTTGTGTTACGATCGTTTCTATTTGTCCGTTGGCGGGAGACATAATCTCATCGTTACTAACATGCTCGTGACTTGGCTTATGCATCGATCTGCAAAATTGACCTCTATATATTAATCCTTTACGAATATTTATTCTAAACATTTTTAATCTATTTAAACATTTATATTGCACATTTATTATTTATATTTTCTTTTATTATATTTTAATAAAAAAAAATTATATCTTTATTGAGATTTTGATATAATATAAATAAATACTGAATAAAAATATTTAATAAAAGATTTAAATTATTTATTATAAATTTTAGTAAATTTTGCATGATAAGAATATTATTTTTAATAATCGTGAAATTGCTATATACTTAAAATTGATATTTGCTATACATAGATTATAAAGTTACATAAGGAAAACTAACTATATTATTTCAGTATAATATTAGAAGATTACAAGTTAAGATTAAGATATTGTTTCATACAATTTCTCGTGTAATCTCATATGAAACAAGTTTATTTTATTTATTTACATGATTTTTTTAATATAATACCATGATTTATTAGCATGATAATATTTTTTAAAGATCGTAATAAATTCTTTTTTAATATTATTATCAATTTGCATTGTATGATTTTCAATATTTGTAGAATTTCAGCGTTATGCATTGGAGCAAGTCGAGTTCGAATCTTATTGTTTCGAGAATGCGAATGGCGCGGAAGAAAACTTCTTTTTGATTCTCTTTCTTTGGAGAAAAAATGGTGTAAAAATAAAACAGCTATGTTTAAGCTTAAAAATAATATTAACTCGAATGATGATTCAATTAATTTCGGAAACAATCGTATCTTTGAGGTAATGAAAAATTATTAAAAAAAACAATTTTTAATTAATATTATATAAAAAATTGTATAATTTAATGAAATATAAAAATATATTTTTCAAAATATTATTTTATATAAATAATTATAAATTTTTAGCGAGAAAAAATAAGCGAAGATGATGTGAGCTTATTAAGCGAAATGGTGTTTGGTACTGTAGCGATGACATACAGAGGATCTTCATTTAAGGTAAAATATAAAAACAAAATTCTATTGAAAATAAATGATATTAATATTTTATAAAATAATCTTTTTTATGTTTATTTTCAAGATTCATTCAATGAATTCACCATCTTGCATCATGTGCACAAAAGTTTTTCCAATTACAGAACACAATATATGCAAACAGAGGTAAGCTTATTCGTTCTTAATAAGATAATTATCGATTTCACATTATAGTTGATATATGGATACAATATTTAATTTATTATTCAATCATATTTCAGCGAGAAAGTTTCGGACGAAGGATTAGGTCGTTCTGTGAATTTTGATTCTAATTCTAGTATGCAAACCATGTGTATGTAGCATTTTCAAAATAATATTATAATATCATTAATTTAAATTAAGTCAATTGAAATTAAATATATATGTGAAAATTTAATTTTTCAGTATCTCGACCAAGTTCTGGAAATTTATCGGGATCAGAATTAAACGCTGATATCAGAAAAAATTCTACTTGTTCTAGTACTGGTAGTGGATGGAATATAGATATACCGCCACCATCAGGGAGTAAGTTAAATATATATATCGATTCAAGTTGAACTATGTAAAAATGATTTATTGGCATTTATTTTTTGAGATGTAATGCGATATTAATTCAGGTTCACAATCGTTGGAAAGTAATGGATCCTCCGGTATTGGTAGTCTTTCAAGTTTACGTCGAAGATGGTTACGATCAGCATCTACTTCTTTAACACGATCAGATTCCGATGATACTTTCGGAATTCAATATTGGACTGAGAATGGAAGTGATAATAAAAATAGTCATGTTAAACGTCATAAAACAAGACTTGGATTAACGATGTTAGTGCAACTAGCTGAAGGTCATGAAAGGTTGAAATTTAACTTAAGATTATTAATGAATATTTTAATTATTAATTTAATTTATTTTAATTTTAACTTATCTCATTTTACATAAAAATTTATTAAATCAAAAATAATAATTTAAAAAAGTATGTTTTGCATTACAGAAAAATAGAAACTTGTTTATTAGAGCACATGGCTTTATTAGAAGGAATGTTGGATCGTTTACGATATTTCTCTATTGAATCAGGTAATATCAATGTTCAAAATAAAGGAATGCAGCTTCCTGAACGACTTTATAGATCTTCTTCACGAATTATTGTTTCGTTATTGCGTTTACTTACAAATATAAACGCAGATTTATATTCACGCACACCTTTATTATGGCATGATGTATTACTTAATTCAGTGAAAATAGAACATAAAATGAGTATGTTGCATCATAGTTTGGAACAAATGTGTCAATTGCTAGATAATACTGATACAAAATCGACTAATTTGTAAGTATTTAAATGAAAAATACTATGCTTTTAAACTGAAATTTTAACATTTATATATTTTAGTTTTTTAAGTACTGTTGTAACTGCTGTTTTAACGTATCATCTTGGTTGGATATATACTACACTGCCAATTCATAATCGACAATTGGTAAATAATTCAGATCTTTTTTATAATTCCTTGCTTTAATTCAATATGCCATGTCATACTTAGGAACAAAATATATTTATTATATTTTTTTCAGATGGAGAAATTAGGTACCTGGTATCCTTGTAATCCATTATGGGCTCAATTAGGTGACTTATATGGTGCATTAAGTAATCCTATCAAGATTGCACATACAGTTGTTGCGGGTGATCCTCAAAAAGTTAATTTGATTAATTCTGTTTTATTTTTTTTATCATATTTCATTCGTAGTGGAGTAGTGCAGAAACGACAAGAATATTGTTGCGTTACTGAACAAGATATTCAAGAAGCTGCAAATCTTCTAGAACAAGCGAAAATAAAACGACCGCATTTATTCACAACAAAAATAATGTATAATGATCGAGAATCATTGACATCACATGTACACACATCTACTAGAAAAAAAATTCCTATACAAGAGGTTTCATATGATACAGAAAGTGACAATGCTATTATGCAAAATTCTTATCCTCGATACAATGTCGAAAGATTAAGAGTAGAAGGATCTATTAATTCTCTTAAACGTAGCATTACAATGGAATCAAATCTAGATTCATTTGTGTTAAAACCATCAGAATCTGAAAGAAATACAAAATTTACTTTGAAAGAATTTCCTCAAGATAATGATAGCAATGTAAAGAGTATTGTTGACAAAAAAACTTGTGCATCAAACAAAGTTAAAATAATAGTTAATGAAATTGTATCACAAGATATCGACACGACAAAGACTGATATACAACATTATTCTGAAGTTTCTCTACGAAATTTTGAAAAAAAAATGGATGGTGATGATTTAGAAGAAACATATATAAATTCTAAAATAGATACTTTTCAAGAATTTGATGATACGCGTACATTAAAATTATATTCCACTAGACCAGAATTTGAAACTGGTCAAAGTACAGTTAACGAGATGAAAGATTCCTATGTCTTTTTTACACTTGGTGATGAAGAAAAGTCTGTGAAAACATTGTCACGACCGCGACTTGGATATAATTGTCAATGTTCATATATGTTCACAAGGGTACCAAGTACATCTGCACAATTGCCGGAAGGTGTATTGAGAAAAATTATTCAAAGAAATTTTCCTGAATCATCTAAAAGTATTCAGTCACCAGGAGTATCTCCAAGATCTTTAAGGTTTTGTCAAAGATGTAACGGGGAAGGCTATATACCATCACAGAATTATGATAATTATAAACAAGTTCTTGAAACTCCTACAAATGCAACAGAAGTATTACGTACTTGTGGTAATACTGTAGGCGATGGAAATGTTGGATTATCTAGATCAAATAGTCTAGAAACTTTGATGGAAGCTAGCAGTGTCGTTGAATTACCTATGCCGCGGTTAGTGTCGCGGACTATAATAAATATTGACAACAGATAAGATTAATTGTAGATGTAAAATTTCTAATTACAGAACAAAAAAAATAAAGAAGACTGATTTACCCCAGGATACTGGTTTTACAAGGACACTTCTACAAAATAATATAAAATCTGAAGAATCACAGGGATTAAATAATTCTGAATCATCCTATACATGGGGTTTAGTTTTACAAGGTTTATTAAAAAAGAAAAAAAGAAGAAAAAAGAAAGTTGTTCAGCAAGAAGAAAATAAAAATGAATCTGAAATAAACAAAGAATGGTGGTACTGCATACGTGAAGAATGTCTTGCCAGTGTACGTTTTCCGATTATTGATCAATCAATTGCCGAATCACTTTGTATTTTAGCCGATTTAGATACTTGGCATGTTGGAATTATATCTAATAATATGCCTTTACATACTGCGCCATTACCGATTGGGATGTCAAGACTTGTAGCCAATATGTTGGAAAGCTTTGCTTATTTATGGCGAAAATATCGCTCAGCTTCGCAAGTAAGAAATCATATTATTATTAATTTTAAGTATTAGAAATATCAAAAAATGTTTTAAACATATAAAAATATTTAAAATAATTATTTTATTTAAAACAAGATAGCATAATATATATTTATAATTTTTATTTCAATTATAGTGTATAGGTATATTGGAAGCAAAACTAAAAGAAATGTGGCTAAAAAGTGAAGCATTAGCAGAAATGTTATTAACAACAGAAATATGTGATGCTAGTATTGCAAATCTGACGTATGCTCTCGATCTCGATGCAGCAGATGTACCACTTTTACTCGCAGTTGCAACTTCACATACACCAGAAATAGCCCAGAGATTTGGTCTCACACTTACTTGACTGTATCTCATTTTTATCATGATTTTTATTTTAGGACATGAAGTCCTTTATTGTCCAATATAGAGTAAGCTATAAGTAAGCTATATATATATATTTTATTATTTGTTTATAAAATATAATTGTAGATTATTTTATTGGGCGATATATCCCAATAAATTTTAAAATTTTTTAAATGGAAAAGTATATAAATGTTTAAAACATTTTTCTGATAAATTATATTAAAATTTAAACCAAATGTTTGTTATATATGTCTTAAAATGTTTTAATTTATTGTGCAATATGTAGGAACATCTAATTTGCATTTAAATATTAAATTTTAAATATATATTTTATATTAAAAGGATTTTAGAATCTTTAAAATTTTATAAAATTATCAATAGTATTAATATTCAATTCAATGAATGATACATTTTATTAAAAATAAAAATGTACAAAAAAAATATAATCTTTTTAATCTTCAATATTATATGTATAAAAATTATATTTGTTTTTTTACATGACATAAAAAGCTTAGATTTAACTCTGCAAAAATGGATAATAAAATTTAAATTAATTTTTGTACTTCTGTGTTTTGTTCAACATTAATTTTCAAAAATCACACAAAATAAAAATAATTTTTTATATGCAGTTTATTATTTTTATTAAGAAAGTAACTTTCATTCCTCATAATTGTATATATTATTTAGTATATATTAATATTAGTGAAATTAAAAAATATAATTTATATAAGAAGAATATAAAATAAATTGTTTTGTGAAAGCAGATTTATTTTATTTTAAAATACAATGAAAAAAACAATTCGATTTTATTAGTTTAATAAATCATAAAAATATTAGAAGCTAAATATGAAATCAAAAATGTAATGTGATATTTTATAATCCAGACAAAATTTAAATTTTGCAATTTAAATTTGATACAAATTATTGATTTGTATTCACAATATCATCGATTTTTAATATACTGCGAACAGTTTCTGAAGCAAGTGTAATAGCACTTGTAGAAACTAAAAGTGGTTGAATCACGTTTTCTTCTAAAATATTAGTAATTGAACCCTTTCTCACATTAATTCCAGTAGTATGTTCACCTTTAGCATGCCGATTTCGAAGTTCTGTTACAGTTGCAATAGGATTTAATCCTGCATTTTCTGCTAGTGTTGATGGAATTATCTATAATTTCGAAATACATATTTAAGAAATGTTAAAAATTTACATGTATTTCTTACTGAACTATAAAAATGTTATACATAATTTACCTCAAATGCGTTTGCAAAAGCATTAATGCAATAAGCATCAACACCTGTTAAAGTTTGGGCATATGCTCCTAATTTTAATGCAAGTTCTATTTCAGGTGCACCACCTCCAGCAATTAAAGCTTTTTGCTTCACTAAACAGCGCACTACGCATAATGCATCATGCAGGGAACGTTCTGCTTCTTCTAGAACCAATTTGTTACTGCCACGTACAAGAACTGTTACTGTAGGCCCAGGATTTTGTATTTTAGTAATCTATAAAATAAAAAAAAAAAAAATAAAGAAACAGAATAAAATAATTAAAAAAATAATATTTACAATAGAAAAATATTATTATAATTTTATATAAATCATATTTTTTAAATATATTAACCTTAACAAATTTAGAGCTTCCGGTTTGTACTTCTTCGCATAATTCTGCATTAACAAGATTTTCAGCAACAAAATGATCTAATGATGCAATTGGTCTGCAACCTAATGTTTTGCATACAAACGAAATATCTTCGCGCTCAATATCTTTAATTACCATAACTTTAATTTTATCTAAAAAGTGTATAGCTAAATCACTAACAGCATCACGAAGAATAGATTTTTGTACCAAGAGTACATTACAACCAGTTTTTTTAATTTGTTTCACAATATTTAATATATAAGTCCTTTCTTCTTTTAAAACGCGATCCATTGCAGCATAATCGGATACAATTACATTATGATCCATCTAAACCAATAAAAATGTTTTGCTTATAAATCGAATTTTATATTTATATTCACATTCACATATTCTTCTTTTTTGTAGTACTTACATCCGTTTTAGGTGGAGAAATGCAAAATTGAATTAAACCTATTTTTGCTTTTTCAATACGCTTTGGTCCATTAACATTACAGGATTTCTGTGTAAAGATTAATCCTTCTACAAGTTCAGTATCTTCAACTGTGCCACCTAATTTTTTGATTACTTTTATATTCTATAAATGTAATAATATTAAAATATAAACTTAATATATTTGTTACTTAAATATAATTTAAATATTTATTTTCTTACATTGAGATCTACAGTACTTTCTTTTCCTTCTTCAGTAACTTTTAATACTGCATCTACAGCTAATGGTGCTAAAAGACTTGACTGTTGAAAGACAACCTTAAAAAGAAATATTCTATATTAATATTTTTTTATGAACTTAGAATATTATTTGAATTTAAATTTATATTTTATAAGTATTTCAAAATAACATTTATAAATATATACCTTTGAATTCAAGGAGGTTGCTGCAGCTCTAATTAATGATTGTTTATCTCTTAAATCAACAGGAATAGACATATTTGTCAATATCTCTACAGCTTTAGCTGCAGCTTTTTGAAAAGAATCACTAATTAAAGTAGGATGTATTCCCTTCTGTAATAAACGTTCTGCAGCTTCCAAAAGGGAACCAGCTATGACAACAACACTAGTAGTACCATCTCCAGCTTCAACATCTTGTGCTTTTGATAATTCAACTAACTAAAAACACAAAAAGATATGAAAGTAAAAAGATTATTTTTAATGTTTTTAATGTTAATAAAAAATTACCATTTTTGCTGCAGGATGTACAACATTCATTTCTTTTAAAATAGTAGCACCATCATTTGTAATTGTAACTTCTCCATTTCCTGCTTGAATCTAAATATATATAATAAAATATAATTACTATATAAAATAACTTAATTAAAAATAATTAAAAATAAAAGAAAAAGTTTAATTAATATAGATAATATATAGATTTAATTTTACCATTTTATCCATTCCTCTGGGACCAAGACTAGTACGAATTGCATCACTAACAGCTGAAATATTAAGTATCTTTTAGATAAAAATTTTATCCAAAAATATATAAATATACATCAATATAATTATTATAATTTATTCAAAAAATTTGAATAAAAAATTTAAATTTAAATAATTTCAATTATTACATATACACACATATACATGCATGCAAGTTATATATATTATATATATTATATATATATATATATTATATTCATTTAAATATATTTAATATGTTTTAAATTTTATAAAATCAATTTTAATATTTCTTTTAGATTTGTAATATGATAAAGTGATTACAATATGTTAAATATGACCATATAAAGTAAAATTTTTAGAAGTATAAAAAATAATCGATGAAGAGTGAAACAAATATTTTAATATTATTATGTATTTACCTTTTGCAGCATTAATATTGCTGCTACGAATATCCGTTGGCTTACTTTTATCTTTATAAGCTTGTCCATGAGCATTTCGTCCATCGCCGCTTGCCGTAATTGCAGTCATTCTCGACAAATTAGTTACGTTTCTTAAGTCGGGTTGATTGCGAAGTTTATACGCGAGTTTGTAAGGAACTTCGTTCCTCTGTGTATTGGAAATGGTTTCTCGCGACACTTTTTCTTATAATTTATCAAACACTTTAAGAAAAAATATAATTCCTCTCAATATTAAAGCACGGTTGAAACACGCCGAAGAAACGACTGGAAACCTCAGACTATAAATCTTTGAGATTGGATGTATCGATATGAAATATAATATAAAATATATAAAATGTGTAGTACTGTTCAGTATTACATAGTGATTCGCCAAAGAAAGTTTTAAAAGTTCGTATTATGAAAATCTTTAGTATTTTACAAATTTTATTTAATTTAAATTATATAATATTATAAAGATATAATTAATTAAAATACATAATAAATATTAAAATTTATAAAAATTTATATATATGTAAGTATAATTTCAAATAACATATTGTTTGATTATAGTATGAGTTTCTACTCTAGTGTATAAATTGATTCATGATTAATAATAAAATATGATTTTGATATATAAGTTATCAGCGCCATTGCATTCTACAGTTTATTATTTACATGAATGCGTTACAATTAAAATGCAAATAACTGATAATCGTAAGAAAACACGATTTTTAGAAAAGTTTAATCAAAAGATTAATAATATATTAAAGTAATTATTTTAGAAAGTGTTATTAAAATGACGTAAATTTAAAAATGCGTATAGATAAATCCACTAGATTGTCACCTGTTCGTTGTCATTTCTGATAATCGGTATGGGATGTGCCAACTCACCTACTATCAGTTAGATACGAATTTTCTTATGGCAATATGTATTCTTCAAGAAATTATTTATAACTTACAATGAAATAGATTTTTATAATAACACTATAAAAAAAGAATTTTAATATAATGGCAAGTACAACTATCGGAACTAATTCGGAAAATACTTCCAAATTTTTGGAATCGCTACAAGCTGATTTGAAAGTCCTCGCCTCTGAAACGAAAAAAAAATATCCACAAATCAAAGAAGTATGTTATTATTATTAATTATAATATTTAATTGCATATTATTATATAACATTAAATAAAAGTTAGGTTAGTTTTTTAACTTTGTATCTTTCAAGTTTTTTTCCCATAACATTATTTATATCATTTTTTTTAAAGAACTAAAGTAAATATATTTTTTATTACAGTCATGTGAGGAAGGAATTGCAAAGATAAGAACAGCTTCAAATACTTCAGGTGCTCCGATTTATTATATTGTTAATCAAATTTTATATCCTTTAGTTCAAGGTTGTGAAAGTAAAGATGTAAAAATTATTAAGGTATATTTGAAGCAACAAATTTATATTAATTTCAATGATTTTATATTTATTATTTATATTATTTATTTCAGTTTTGCTTAAATATGATGCAAAGATTAATTACTCAGCAAGCTGTTGATCAGAAAGGTGCTCGTTATATCACAGATACATTATGGATGTTAATGGAAACAGGAACAGAAGAAGTTAAAGTTTTACAATCTGTAACTCTCTTACTTACTAGTAATACTGTTGTTCATGGAGAGACACTTGCAAGAGTAATAATTTATTTTATCTGTAAAAGATTTGTAATCAACATTTTAAATAATATATGAGAATAATATATATTTCATTTTCAGAATTTGGTTTTGTGTTTTCGTTTACACTTTACAAAAGATTCTACAACAATTAATACAGCAGGAGCTACAGTAAGACAATTAGTTTCATTAGTGTTTGAGCGTGTTGTTGCAGAAGATGAACAAAGTCCTGACAATGAAGATTCAGATGAAATAAATTTGGAGGAATTAAAAATTCCTACTAATCAGGCACCTAAAAGTTTAGGACCATGTGCTGCTGATGCATATTTAATGTTTCAAGTAAGTTCATTTATATAATTTATTAATGATGTTACATAATTACAAGTAAAATCTTTTTAGGACTTAGTGCAATTAGTAAATGCAGATCAACCTTATTGGTTAATTGGAATTACAGAAATGACACGTACATTTGGGTTGGAATTGTTAGAATCTGTATTAACAAATTTTTCATCAGTATTTTTTAAGGTATTTAATCATAATAATAATGAATTTATATGTGTATAATTATTGAATTTTTAATTTTTTCAGCATCCAGAATTTAGCTTTTTGCTAAAGGAGAGAGTATGTGCACTTGTAATCAAATTATTTTCACCTAATATCAAATATCGTAATTCAGTACCGGCATCACTGCAACAAGCTACACCTTTAGATAAACCTTATTTTCCTATTAGTATGCGACTTCTTCGAGTTGTTTCTATTTTGATACAAAAGTATCATTCTCTCTTGGTATATATTTTAATTTTACTTCTTTCTTTTTTAATATTTTAAAAAAAAATATTAAAATTAAAATAACGAATTTGAATTTTTTAGGTGACAGAATGTGAAATATTTTTATCTCTAATTGTTAAATTTTTGGATCCTGATAAACCAACATGGCAAAGAGCTTTAGCTTTAGAGGTTTTACATAAGATGACAGTACAAGCTGATCTTTTGACAAACTTTTGTGAATGTTATGATTTGAAGCCTCATGCAACAAATATTTTTCAAGATATCGTAAATAGTTTAGGTGCTTATGTACATAGCCTTTTTGTTAATCCTCAAATGATGAACCAAACTAATATGGGTAAATATTAATTTATTATAACAATAATAAAATATTATCTCTAAAAAATCATTAATATGTTTATAATTTTAGCCACAAATACAACAATTCCTCAAAGTACAGCTTCTCCATTATTTACGGGAATGCCTATTGGACCTGGTGTTTCACCTCAACCAGGTTTTTATTCGCGTGGTATTTGGTTACCAGTTGTTGCAACATTTACAAGCGGTCAAGCTAAATCAACCTAGTAAGTATATTTTTAATTGTTTACAATATAATTATAAAAATTTACTAATGATTTAATTAACTTTTAGCCTAGATATGCTTGATAAAGTAGAGCCACCACAGATTCCTATTGGTTATGGAATAAGCATAGCTTATGCATGTTTGTTGGATATTATACGATCTATAGCTCTTGCAATTAATGGTACTAGTGATACTGGAACTGGAAATCAATCTTATAAACCTAGCGAATTTGAACGAAAACTTCATACTCAACTCATTAATTCTAGTTGGTGTGGTTTATTAGCAGCACTAAGTCCTCTTATAGATGCAAGGTAAGAAATATTAATTTATTAATTATTTTATTATATTAATATGATATTTAAAATTTATTATTAATGTATATTTACAAATAATTTTGTATTATAATTATTATATTATATTTATTATATTATATTTTATATTATATTATATTAAAATTAGCACTGATGAATCTGCGACGGAAAATGTATTAAAAGCAATACAAACTTTTGCATCTTTGTGTGGACAATTGGAGTTGCAAACTCCACGTGATGCATTCATTACTGCGATATGTAAAGCATCATTGCCTCCTAATTATGCATTAACTGTATTATACAATGCTCCTCAAGGTATACCGACTGCAAGGCAACAAGAATCTACTCAATATAATGTAACTATTGGTGAACCAGATTATAGACAACAGGTAGTAGCAGTTGGTACTCCACTACCTACTGCTTCTTTACCAGTTGGTATGTAATGATAATTTAAAATTGATAGATATTTTATATAGTTATTCGTAATTAAATAAAATGAAAAATTTATTTGTCAATAGGTGCACATCAAGGTCCAGTTATGTTAACAGCAAAAAATTTACAATGTATGCGCGCTTTATTATCACTTGCACATTGTCATGGAAGCATACTTGGTGGTGCATGGCATTTGGTACTTACAACATTACAACATCTTGTCTGGATACTTGGCTTAAAACCTTCTACAGGAGGATCCTTGAAAGCTGGAAGAACTGCAGCTGATCCAAATGCAGTACTTACAAATGCAGTTATGGCAGACTTACCTGTACTTAGCGCAATGCTTAGCAGATTATTTGAAAGTAGTCAACATCTCGACGATGTAGCTTTACATCATTTAATAGATGCGCTGTGCAAGTTAAGTCATGAAGCTATGGAACTAGCTTATTCTAATAGAGTAAGTATTAATTTCTATATTATAATATTAAAGAAGATTAAAAAAAATAAATATTTATTATATATGTTAGAGATAAAGCTAGTAGAAAAGATAGATCTAGAATTAGATCTATCTCGATTAGTTTATATATTAGTATTACTACTATCTATGAATATTTGAAGTTTATTTAAGTTTCAGCTTTTATTTGATAAATCAATATTGCTTAGATAATTGTTATTATTGTATTATTTTTTTATCAATTAATTTTCTAAGTTCTCACAGGTAATTCTAGATTTATCTCTGTTAAATTTACTTAAATATAATTAAATAATTACAATTTGCAACTTATTTATTAAAATTTTTTAAAAGAAAAAAAGGAAAAAATAGTTTGTATATTTGTCTTAGGAACCTTCCTTATTTGCCGTGGCTAAACTTTTAGAAACTGGTTTAGTAAACTTACCACGAGTAGAAGTTTTATGGAGACCATTAACGAATCATTTGTTAGAAGTTTGTCAACATCCGCATATTCGTATGAGAGAATGGGGAGTCGAAGCTATTACATATCTCGTAAAAATGGCGCTTCAACACAAATATCCACAACCTTTGCGGGATAATCAAGTATTTAATAAGTCATTTTTTAATGAAAAATAAACATAAAAAACTAAATAAATGTAAAATTTATTTTTTTATTATAGAAGTTGCAGACATTGCTTTTAGGACCTTTATCAGAATTATCATCAGTTCGTCATGGAGATGTAAGACAACGACAATTGGAATGTGTTTTACAAGTTTTACATGGAGCAGGAGAAACATTATATCATGGCTGGCCTTTGGTACTTGGTATTATTGGAGCAGTATCTGATCATCATGGGTAAATTATACAATATAAATAATATAATTATAAAAAATAAGATCTTGATTTAATTAAATATAAATATAATTTATTTTAATTTTATAATAATATATTTTACAGAGAAGCTTTAGTTCGAATAGCTTTTCAATGTTTACAATTGGTAGTAACTGATTTTCTACCAGTGATGCCTTGGCGATGTCTTCCACTTTGTGTTGACACAGCCGCAAAGTTTGGTTCTCAGACACAAGAATTAAATATTTCATTAACTGCTGTTGGATTAATGGTAAGAATGAATTACCTAT